GGCCCCTCCTCGTCGGGGGCCGCTGCCAGTGAGCCACGTGGGGGGGGTCGCCAGTTATCAGCGTGAAGTCGAGGGCGGCGAAGAAAACTTCAAGCTCCGCACTGGAATAGGCGCGCGGCGACTGGCAGCTGGCACCGTCGATGTCCGGCCCGCCCTCGGGCCGACATCCCGCCCGCGCGCGCCAATCGATCGCAACCGAGCGGTCAGCAAGAGCGGCGCCGCGGCAGTGGAGCGCACTGCGTTTGCAAAGGGCCGATTCATCTGAGCGCCCTCAGCGCCGCCTGCGGAAACCGAGGCGGAGCCAAGCCTCCCCGCAGGAGTTGGCGCCCCAAAGCCGGGGCGGGGCCCTGACGCGGCGCTGCCCGGAGTCGGAGGCCCCCCGGGGGGCAGGGCATCGGCGGAGGCGGCCGCGCCCGCGGGGCCCGCCAGACGGGGCGGAGCTGGGGGGTCGGTCGGCGCTGCCGCCACGTCGCTGGTCCTCTCGCCTCCCAGACGACCCGAGCGGCCCCGTCGGCGCTAGCGGCGCCCGCGGAGGGCGCGGACGGGCCCTGCATGCCCCGGGCCCTCGGGCGCAGCGGCGGCCCCTGCATGCCCGGGGGCAGACAGGCCTGGCAGATGCGGGGGGCGCCGAGGGGGCCCGGGTGCAGCAGCGGCGGGAAATGGTCGTGGGGGGCCCAGAAAAAGCGGTCGTCTGGGTCTGTCTCGCCGCAGCCCTGGGGGGCGATGGCCTCCCGTCTGCTTGGGTCGTCCAGGAGATCCACGCCAGGCGCGTGCATCACGAGGCGAACGATGGTTTTGAGGCGCCCCTCGATCGCGGTCCAGAAGTCGGCCAGGTCGTCGATGGACACTTCAGAGCGGGCGAGAGCGGCTTCCCGGAAGGGCTTGCCTCCGGCGGACAGGGGGCAGCTAGGCCGAGGAGCGCCTCGGCGCAGTCCCCCGCGTTGTTAAAGTCGCCGACGGGGCAGACAAGGTCGCCCATTTCCCGAAGGGCGGCAGCCCCCCCGAGGCGCCAGGCGAGCCGGGCAGGGCGGCGGGGCGGGCAGCTGGGCGAGCGCGGCGGGCGCCAGCGGGAAGAGGCGGGGCAAGCAAGCGGCGAGCCAGGTCGTCGGGTGGGCCAGCAGCGCAGAGGGGCAGCGGCAGGTCGCGCCGGGGCGCCCCGCGCCGCGGCCGCTGCCGCCGCCGCCGCCGTCGACGTCATTGTGCGCGTCGTCGTCCACGTTGTCGCAATCGTTTGGGCGATTTAGTCGCTGCTAGGGGGCCTCCGTCGCCGCGGCTGTCCGCGTCTCTGTAGAAGTGGCCCGGATGGACCCCGCGAAGGGTCCCCAACGCCAGGGACCGATTTTGAACGGCTCGTGGTCGGAAGACGACGACGACGATGGCGACGAAGACGACGGCGACGAAGACGACGGCGACGGCGACGGCGACGGCGACGGCGACGGCGACGGCGACGGCGACGACGACGACGGCGACGGCGACGGCGACGGCGACGGCGACGGCGACGATGGCGGCGGCGGCGACCAGGAGCGGCGGCGGCGGAGGCGGCGGCGGAGGCGGCGGCGGAGGCGGCGGCGGCGGCGAAGTCTTGACCCTTCCCTGCGGGCATGCTTGCGTCCCGGATCCGTTTCTGATCGCCGCGGAGCCCGAAAATGGTCTCCGGGAAACCGACATCGGAGAAACATGTCGGCCGATCGACCTTGGATCGATGCTCGACCGATCGACGACGACGACGGCGGGTGTCGACGACATGGCAATCGCCGTCGCCGTTGCAGGTCGTCGTCGTCGTCGTCGTCGTCGTCGTCGTCGTCGTCGTCGTCGTCGTCGTCGCTGCCGCCGCTGCTGCCGCCGCTGCTGCCGCCGCCGCCGCCGCTGTCGCCGTCGCCGCCGCCGCCGCTGTCGCCGTCGGAGTCGCCGTCGCCGTCGTCGTCGCCGTCGTCGTTGTCGTCGTCGTCGTCGTCGGGGTCGCCGTCGCCGTCGTCGTCGCCGTCGTCATCGCCGTCGCCGTCGCCGTCGCCGTCGCCGTCGCCGTTGCCGTCGTCGTCGTCGTCGTCGTCGGCGTCGTCGTCGCCGCCGTTGCCGTGGCCGTGGCCGGCCGTCGTCGGCATGGCCGTCAACGGCCGCGGCGGCCACGGCCGGCCGTGGCCGCCTGGAGGGCGTGGGGAGCGCGGGCAGCAGGTGCTGGTGCTCGGCCTCGGGGCGCGGGGCGGGGCGCGGAGGCGGCCCGCGGGCTGGCCTGCAGCGCGGAGGATCGGATCGACTCGGCATGGGGAAGTGGCGTGCCCCGCAGCGCGATCCAGGACCCTCATGAAGCGTGAGGCTCGAAAACCAGCTGTGGCGGCTGTGCATCCCGCCCTGCCAGGCTGGTGGAGCAGGGAGGCAGGAGGAGGGAGGAGGGAGGAGGGACGAGGGAGGGGAGGATGAATGAGGACGGAGGAGTGGAGAGACGGAGGAGGGGGAGGACGGAGCAGGGAGGAGGACGGAGAACCAAGATAAACCCAAGACTGATCAACGATGTTTCAGTAAACCCTCCCTCCAAGTTCAATTTTGATAGGCTCCTATAAGATCGTTCTTCACTGCGGGAAGAGTCCCGTTGGAAAACAGCAGCTTGAAATTCGTCAACCGTTCCGAAATACCATTCCTGGGACTTCAACGCCGCCACAAATCAACGCCGCCGCGCCTGACGGTCCTAAATCGTACCAGAACAGCATGTCTGGGAAAGCTTCACCGCCGTGACTGTCGCGCCCTGACAACCCCAAATCGTGTCAAAGTATCGTTGCTGGGACGTCAACCATAAGAACCGTTGAAACTGCTATAAACTGTTAAGACGAATGTGCGCGGCGCTGAAGCGAGAACCACAATTTGAGAAGGAACCGCCCTCAATCCGTGAAGCTCTTGCAAACTAATGAAATGAATGTGCGCGGCGCTAAGCGATAACCACAATTTGAAAACGACCCGCCCTCCATCCGTGAAATCATGGAAAAGCACACGCCCTAAATCCGTGCAACCGTTGCAAATGTCAAGCTGCAGGAGCATGAATGGTGAGAAAATCTCAGGCGAACGCCTGGCCCGCACTACCGATCCATCTCTGGGTGCGACAGGGAGGAATCATTTTGAAGGAAAAGGGATGAAAGGAAGGGAGCAACCCGCCCCTGCCTGGCCTGGGAGGTTCGGCACCAACGAGGCCTCTCTTGGTGTGCACTGGATTCAATTGAGTTGAGTTGTGTGGAGGGAGGTGGGAGGAGGGGGAGGAAGGAGGACGAAGAGGAGGAGGCGGAGGGGTAGAAGGAGGGAGGATGAGGAGGGGAAGGAGGAGGAGGAGGAGGAGGAGGAGGAGGAGGAGGAGGAGGAGGAGGAGGAGGAAGGAGCGGATGAGGAGGAGGGTGGACTGGGTTGGCCTTCAGGAGCCTCGCAAGATCATGCATTCAACTCACAATGGCTGAATCACCGTCCCGGGAAAAGATTACGAAGACTGGCCTCGACACGACACTTCTCAGAACACCAAAGTAGCCCTTCTTCTTTGCTCCCTGGTGCACGTCGCAGGGCGAGTCCAGGAAAGCACGCGTATGTGAGACTGGAGGAAGAGTAGCAGACGGGTGCAGGATGACAAGATCATCAACATCGTCGTCAGCATCATCATCATCATCATCATCATCATCATCATCATCATCATCATCATCATCATCATCATCATCATCATCATCATCATCATCATCAGCATCAGCATCAGCATCAGCATCAGCATCAGCATCAGCATCATAAGCATCATCCTCACCCTCATCGTCATCCTCATCATCATCATCATCCTCATCAGTATCATCATCAGCATCGTCGTCGTCATCAGCATCATCATCATCATCATCATCATCATCATCATCATCATCATCATCACCATCGTCATCAGCATCATCATCATCATCATCATCATCATCATCATCATCATCATCATCATCATCGTCGTCATCATCATCATCATGATCAGCATCAGCATCATCATCACCACCTCCCCCATCATCATCATCATCATCATCATCATCATCATCATCATCATCATCAGCATCGTCATCATCATCATCAGCATCATCATCACCAGCAGCAACATCAGCAGCAGCAGCATCATCAACATCACAATCATCATCGCCATCATCATCATCATCATCATCGCCATCATCACCATCATCATCATCATCATCATCATCGTCATCATCAGCAGCATCATCGGCATCATCATCATCATAAGCATCATCGTCGTCGGCATCATCACCACCACCACCATCATCATCAGCAGCAGCAGCATTGTCAGCATCATCAGCATCATCGTCATCAACATCGATATTGACATCGACAGCGATATCGGCGTTCATCACCGTCTCCATCGACATCGACATCCTCATCATGGTCACCGTCGTCCCAGCGCAGGGAGGTGATGCAGGCCGGGCAGCGAGCTCCCGCCCCCCCCCCCCAGGGCCGCGGGACGCCTCGCGCCTGGTAGCTCTCGCCTCGAGCAGCCGCATGGTCTCTGCCTGACGAAGTCTCCTCCTCCTCCTCCCCCTCCTCCTCCTTTCCCCCCCCCCCCCAAAAAAAAATAGACCAACCTAAGGTCACCCCTGTGGTGTCAGTCCTCCTCCTCTTCCTCCATGTCCTCCTCCTCCATGTCCTCATCCTCCTCGTCCTCCTCCTCCTCCTCCTCATCATCATCATCCATTCCTTGTCCTCCTCCTCCTCCTCCTCCTCATCCATTCCTTTTCCTTCTAACAAACTTCTCCCTGTTGCGCCCCGAAGCCAGTTTTTAGGGCGGGTCGGGCGTTTCGTCTGAAACTCCCTCACCACTCAGGACCCTGAAGCTTGGGACCCCACGAGGGCGTCCAGACGGCCCAAGATGGCCTCTGAACGGGCCAAGACGGCCCCAAGACGGCCCGACATTGCCCCAAGAGAGCCCAAGAAAACCCGAGGATGGCCCAAGAGGGCCCCACGAGCGCTCACAACTGCGCCTCCAGAAGCCAAAATCATCTGTGTTCCTATAGGTGGTTTTGATGATTTTACCGTTCTCGCCTTTTTTCGGCTCTCAGAGGCCCATGACGGCCCAAACAGCTTCCAAAATGGCCCCATAAAGGCCCCAGAGGCTCCGAAGAGGGTCTCAAAACGGCCCAAGAGGGCTCCAAGACGCCCCAAAGGGGCCCCCAAGACGGTCCAAGAGGCCCCCCAAACGGCCCAAGAGGACCCCAAGAGAGACCCAAGGCGGCCGCGAGAGGCCTCCAAAAGGGCCTCCCAAGGGGCGAAACGGCGCAAAAGCGCCGCAAGACAGCCGAACACGCCCCCAAGAGGCCCCAAGAGGCCCCCAAGAGGCCCCCAAGAGGCCCCAAGAAGCCCCCAAAAGGCCTCTAAAAAACCCGCAAGAAGCTTCCAAGAGGCCTCAAAGAAGCCTCCAAAAGGCCACACAACGACTGGACGGTAATGTCGTGTTTTCCCTCTGGGCGAACCGCGGTGCAGCGCCAGCCAGGTGGAAATTTGTCACCTGCGGCGCCGCGGCGCCCATGATTAGAGCCGGCGTTTGAAGGGCGGAAATCCACGTCCAGAAGTGACGTGCTCAGCGGCAGCGTTTTCCGCGGATGCTGTAATGCAACGTATCCATTGCATCACATAATTGCGTAATTGCTACACATTGTCTTGTGTTGCATGATTATGTCTCCCCCCTTGACCCCCCCAGGGGCTACGCCACATCCATCGACCCAACCTGGCGACCCACTTTTGGGGCCCCAAGACCTACCAAAACATATGTAAAATCTATGATTTCGGCTGCTTCGGCCTCTTGGGGGGCCACGCGGGCGTCAGGACGGCTCAAGATGGCCTCTGTGCAGGCCAAGACGGCCCAAGATGGCCCCAAGGGGGCCCAACAAGGCCCCAAGAAGGCCCAAGACGGCCCCAAGAGGACCTTCAAGAGCGCCTCCAGAAGTCCAAATCTTTGATTTTCCAAGGGTTTTTGAAGATTTCAGCGTTCCCGCCTATTTCGACTCTTAGAGGTCCAAGACGGCCGAAACAGCCTACGAACGGCGCCCTAACAACCCAAGACGCCCTCAAGAGAGCCGCAAAACGGCCCAAGAGGGCCCCCAGACAGCCAAAGAGGCCGCCGAGATGCCCCAAGAGGCCCCCAAGACGGCCCAAGAGTACCCCAAGACAGTCTCCGAAGGGACCGGACAGCGCAATAGCGCCCCCAAGACGCCCACACGGGGCTCCGAGAGGTCCCCAAGAGGCCTCCCAGAGGCCCCCAAGAGGCCTCCAAGACGCCCCCGCGAGGACCCAACAGGCCCCAAAGAGGCCTCCACGGGGCCCCCAAGAAGATCCCAAAGTCCCGACAACGACTGGACTGTACGTGCTCCGGACGTGCACCCCGCGAAGCGAGAGGAATCAGAATCTGCGTATGACGTCACTCCGCTGAAACCCCCAGCAGCCCTCGGAAGTGGCGACAGCATCGATGTTCGCAGCCCCCCAGGGATGGCGAGGTCAAATCTGTAGATGCGTATGACGTCACTCTGCTGGGCCCCTCAGAGGCCCTCGAAAGTGGCGACAGCATCGCTGTTCGCAGTCCCCCAAGGATGGCGAGATCTAAGCTGAATCTGCGTATGACGTCACTCCGCTGAACCCCCAGCAGCCCTCGAAAAAGGCGACAAATTCGCAGATCGCGGCCCCCCAGGCATGGCGCAGCTCGCAGAGCCCGCCTGCACTGGCGAGGAAGGAGGGAGGCTGGCAGGCAGACAGGAGCGAGGTAAGAAGCAGGAGATAAGGAGAAGGCAGGAGGAAGGAAGGTCGCGACCGCAGTGCTCTATTCAAAACGAGAACCCAGCGCAGGAGGGTTGGACAAAAAACACAGCACGCTCGGCGGTGGACCGATGGGCATATGGTCAGGGGCAGGCGCGGCCTTGGTCATGTCCCCAGAGTAGACGAAGCGATCGGCGAGGAACGGCCAGGCCTTCAGGATGACGAACACGGAGAAGGTGAAGACGTCTATGTCCTAGGCTCGTCGGCGACTCGAACTCCTCCCCACCTCCTGCCTCTGAGAATCTCTATGTCGTCGTCGCCGTGGCTTTGACCTTCCGCTTTGACCTTCCGCCCTCCCTGGCGGCGTTTGCCGCCAGGGACGGGCGTAGCAGCGTCTGGTGCACAGACTCCAATGCCATCATCGGCAGCGTCAGGTGGAGGGGCAAAGGCAGGGAGGAGGCGGGGGATGAGAGGAACGAGGGAGGAGGAAAGGCGACAGCACAAGAAGGGGAGAGGGGACCACGATGGGGATGGCGAGGGATGCGGGGCGAGCGAGGAGGTTTGAAGGAGGGAGTGCGACAGGGAAGGGAGAGCGAGGGGGAGAAATGGATCCTTGAAGACGGAGGCCTTCTTGGTCGTCCACTCCTTCATTTGCTTCTCCTCGCCAGGAGTGGAAGGAGGGGGGGGACGTGATCTGCTTCCCCCTCTCAGGGATGGTGGGATCACCACGGAGAATCACCCCCTGGCCCAGGCTGCCGACCCGCCCAGACTGATATCTGGCTGCTCCAATGCGCGCGCGCCGCTGGCACCCGGGGGCGGTTCGCAACTCTTTGGGTGCGCACGGGGGCGCGCCTCCATCAGGACGCAAACGAAACGAACAGAAGACGAGAACGGACGGGGAGGAGGAGGAGGAGGAGGAGGAGGAGAAGGCTCGAGGAAGAGGCTGGAGGAGAAGAAGAACAAGAAAACCAAATGAATCAGAAAAGAAAAGAACAGACAAATCCGCCGACCCCTTGGGGTTCATCGGCGTGTGAGATGTTCCCCCTCCCCAAACCCCTCCCCCGGGAGCCCGGTCCGGTCCATTTGGAGGGGGGGGGGGGTCCGGCCGGACGGGCCGGAACCCCCCGGAGGTCTCATCCGCTCCCGAAAAACGTGGAAAAACACGTGAAATTCGTGTAGGGACGCGTCTGGTGGCCTCGAAATGGGTTTGGGACGCCCCACGAGCGCTCCAAGACGTCCAAGTTTGCCCGAAGACGGGCCACGAGGCGTCCTCGGCGGCAAAAGAGGTCCCCACGAGCTCCCCCGAGGGCCTCCGAGATGCGTTCCACAAGGGTCCCTAGACGCCAAAATTGGGCCATTCCCATTGTGAAATGCACATTTTAAAAAATTCAGTTTTGGATCTTTCCGATGCTCCCCGACGGCCCAAGAGGTTCCCAAACCCGTTCCCAGACGGCCCCAGAAGCCTCGCAGAGGGTCCCCCACAGACCCCTAGAGGGCCCAAGATGGGCCAACAGGCGCCCAAGACAGCCCAAAAGGGCTCCGAAAACGGCCCCAAGAGCGTTCCAGGAGCGCTCCGAATTGCCTCCCCGAAGCTCCACATGGTCCCAGACGGTCCAAGAGCGATCAGAAACATCGACGACGACCTCCCGACGGCTCACGAGGCCTCCCCAGACGCCCCCACAGGCATCCAAGATTCCCCCCAAGAGGCCCTCTAGACGCAAAAAATCGTTTGTTTCCTTCGTAAAACGTATATTGTTTCACACGTGCGCCTTTGAGGATGACCCCCGCTCCTGCACGGCCCCAGAGCCCCCCAAACCCGCTCCCAGACGGTCCAAGACGCCTCCAAGAGGGCCCGTACATAGCCCTCGAGGGCCCCAAGACGCGCAAACACACGTCCAAGACGGCCCAGAAGGGCTCCGAAAACGGCTCCGAGAGCGCTCCAGGAGCGGTCCGAGTGGCCTCGAAGAGAGCTCCACATGGTCCTCGACCGTCCAAGGGCGATCACAAACATCGACGACGGCCTCCAAACGGCTGAAGAGGCCCCCAAGACGGCCCAAGAGGCATCCACAATGCGCCCACAGAGGGCCTCTAGACGCAAAAAACCGCCCGTTCCCTTTGTAAAACGTATATTTTTTCTCACACGTGCGCCTTTCGGGGTGCCCCCCGTTCCTGGACGGTCCCAGAGCCCCCCAAACCCGCTCCCAGACGGCCCAAGACGCCTCCAAGAGGGTTCCCCATATAGCCCTAGAGGGCCCCAAGACGGGCCAACAGACGTCCAAGACGGCCCAAAAGGGCTCCGAAAACGGCCCCGACAGCGCTCCAGGAGCGCCCCGAGTGGCCTCGAAGAGAGCTCCACATGGTCCCCGACGGTCCAAGAGCGATCAACAACACTGACGACGACCTCCAGACGGCTACAGAGGCCCTCGAGACGCCCCAAGAGGCATCCACGATGCGCCACAAGAGGGCCTCTAGACGCACAAAAACGCCCGTTCCCTTCGTAAAACGCATATATTTCTCGCACATGCGCCTTTTGGGGTGTTCCCCGCTCCTGGGCGGCCCCAGAGCCCCCCAAGACCGCACCAAGACGGTCCAAGAAGCCTCCACGAGGGCCCCGCGACAGCCCAAGAGGGCGCCAAGACGGGTCTCAAGAGGGGCAGAGGACGGCCCAAGAGAGCCCCGAAGACAACGCGCGCGACTCGCGGTCAGATTCCTCGCAACTTGCGTCGCTTCCCGCCGTGATCGTCACTTGCTTCCGCAGGGCGTTTCGGCGGGTCTCTGACCATGGCCTGAAACGATCGAAGGTCACCCCACGGCCGCCCCTGACGGTTCCAAAAGACACCGCAAAGCAGTTCTGAGGTCACCAAGGGCATACCACAGTCCTCGGCAACAGATGGCGACGGCCAAGACGGCCGAAAAGAACGCACAGAGCGCCCCATGACAGCCCAAGAGAGGCCGATGACAGCCCAAGAGAGCCCCAAGACAGCCCAATACTGCCACAGGACGGCCTAAGGGGCCCCAAGACAACCCAAGAATGCCCCAAGAATGGCCCAGGGGCCTCAGACCACCCAAAGAGGCGACCAGACCACTGCGCGATTCTTCATAAGGGGTCGGCGGATGTGGCGCAAGCCTGAAGAATAACACTGATAATATGAAGAATAAAAAAGAAAGAAGAAGACGTAGACGGAAGCGGAGAAGCAAAACTAGGAGGTGAATCCTTCCCCTTCCGTCGCAAGGTTGAGACGGCCCCGACCTCCAAAAAGGCATCAAACAACGAACATCCGGAACGTAGACGCCGACGCCGACCTCGACGTCAACGCTGGAGGAGGGAGAAGAGGAAAAGGAGGAGGAGGAATAAAAAGAATAAGAGGACAAACGAGGAAAAGGAAGACGAGAGGAGCAGTAGGAGGCGGAAGGAAAGGAAGAAGAAGAGGACGGAAGCGACTCGAAAACTAAGAGGACAAAGAGGGGTAGACGAGGAAGAAAAAGGAAGAGAGATACGACGAGGACGAATGAGGGGGAGAAACAGGAGATGACGAGGAGAAAGCAGACGAGAAGAGGTGGAAACTAAAATATACAGTGATGACCAGAATGCTCCTTAACGGAAATATGCAGGGCGGCGCACAGCGAGTACTTCAGTGGGCGCGGGAAGCATGCCTATGAACCAACTAGCAACGGAAACAAAGGGGCCCCCCCCCCCCCCCCCCCCCCCCCCCCCCCACACCCAACATCGTCGCGAACGAGACCCACCCACACCCGGACGCAAACCGTCCAGACCGCCACCGAGACCCGACATATGAGCCACACTGAATAGTTACAGCACTGGGCAGGGCAAGGAAGGAGTTCTACGATCCACCCCTCTTACATAAAATCGCGCTGCACGGGGGACCTTCTGCGAACCGAGTCTTCCATAAAAAATGTCACGACCGAAAAGGAAGGCAGACAGTAAACGACTGGCGGAGCACAGAATATATATATATATATATATATATATATATATATATAATATATATATATATATATATATATATATATATCACTCGCGCTCTCAGCTCTCAACGGCCTGCTGTTCCACGAACATAATTCATGGAAGCAGACCCTCACTTGCGTGGACCACTACGTCGCATTCGCGCACATAGTCCGTGACATGCGAATACCTTCGCACTTTTCTCCCTGTTGTACTGCGTCGCACTCGCGAATGCAAGTCGCGATATACGAGTCGGTCGTCGCATTCGCGGACACAGTCCTGACAAGCGACGCCGAGTGGGTTGCCAAATTGGGTCGTCGCTGTTCCTGTTGAATGCCGCTGCGGCGGGATTTCGGCACCGCGTTTTCTGTCGCTCCCCACTCAACCTCAGCGCGGGGCGCACGTGAGCGAGCCCCCCCTCCACGACGCCGAGGATGAGCTTCTGGCCGATGCTTCCGTTCGCCGCGGGGTCGGCCCCCATGTCGCGGGCGTCGCACCACAGAAAGTCGGATAACTGTTTGAAGCTGGTCTGCGAGCCACCAGGGGCGGCCTGCCGCGCCATTGTCATGGCGGCCGCGCGCGGTCCACGGCCAAGGCGGAGAAGACGGGCACGCCGCCCACGACCAGCTCGGCTGGCACAGCGCAACCTCTCCCCCCCCCCAACTTCCCGGTCTCTCCACACGCTGCGAGCAGCTCATCGCCGACGGCGAATATGCACGCAAGTTTGCGCGATCGACTCACAGCGTCGAGCAAGTGGCAGATCTTCAGTACTGCGGCACCTGCCCAGACGCGCGCACGCGGCGCCGCGCATGCTGCATCCTGTCGGCCCCTCACGCTTGAACGAGCCGTCGCTGCGCACGCAGACCTGGCCAGCGCGCTCCATCGCGAGGCAGACGGCGCGCGCTCTGATCTTCTGCGTGACCAGAAAACCAAAGCCAAGCTGCGCAATGCGCCTGATGGCGGGCTTGTTCTCGGCTCGCTGCAGCGCGACGACGCAGGCGGCAACGCGGCGTCGCGCGAGCAGCGCGTGGGCGGCAGCTCCGAGGGGGGAGACATGGAGGTCTGGAAGCGGCCATCGCCTTGACCAGGTCGACGTGCCAAATAAGGGATCAGCGCGTCAATGTATACTCGCTTTGGTCAAGAGTCACTGCGCCGTCGGCACTGCGGTGTTGGGGGGCACCGCAATTGGTGAAATCGCCGCGATCGCCTTTCATTCTGCCGAAGACGATCTCGACGTGGCCGATCAGCCGGCGCGCGTGCTCTTTGCGTCCAACGATCCCCGAGTCGTCGACGGAATTGGACAACGTGAGTACTAGCTCTGAGCTGCCGGCGCCACAGGTGCTGGACGCCTCGCGATTCACCTCGCGCCCCAGGCCCCACCGCGCCTGCACGGCGTTGCACTCGGGCGAGCGCGCGACCCCAGCGAGCTTCATGGAGAAAGCCCCGGGCGCATCCTTGCAGCCCTCGCATCCAGCGCAGGCACTCGGTCCGCTCGTCGAAGGAATCGCAGCTTGGGGCCTGCTTGGCCCTGCCCCTGCATCTCAGCATAGGTCATTCCCCGCAGGAACGCTTTCCCCACGTCCACGGCGACGCACGCCCAGTCCGAGCGAGAGGCCGCCTGCGAAGACAGAATGCATTGAAACGCCCGCTTCGCCGCGCCGGCGAACGCCTCCAGGACTCTGGCGCCCACGTCGCGGACGCGGAAGCCCCTCGGCGCCACGCGGCACCGGATGATCCCGAGGCCCTGCCGCCTGCCCCCCTCCGGCGCTTCCGCGTGAACGCGCGCCCGGAGCCCATGAGGCTCCGAGCGCCTTCGAGAGGGCGTTGATCGAAGCACCTGTACTTGACCCAGACGGCGGGCCCCTCGCCCTCGCTCTCGCCCTCCGCCGAGTCGCCGTCGAACGGCGGGCGGGAGAGGGCCCCGTAGTAGAGGGGGCCTGGTAAATGAATGCTTGGTAGACGAGGGGGGGTGGACAATGCGAGGCCCGCAGCGGCGGGGGGGGCGGAATGGGGGGGGGGGGCAAGAGGAGCCAGGGGGGGGGGAGCAAAAAGAGGGGGGCAAGGGAGGAGCAAGAGGGGGGGGGGCCGGGCGAAGGAGGAGCCGATGGGACGAGCGCGCCCACGAACACCCGCACCCGCAAGGGCCAGACACCCACGAGCGTCTTCGCCGCCACAGCAACCTCGAAAGCCCGCCGATGGGGAGGAGCAGGGAGGGGCCAGAGGGGAAGGACGGGCGAAGGAGGAACCGACGGGGCGAGGGCACCCGCGAGCTCTCGCACCCGCCAGGGTCAGACTCCCGCGAGCTTCTTCGTCGCCACAGCAACCTCGAACGCCCGCCGGGGGCAGGGGCCGGGAGGGGAGAGGAGGGGGGGGGCAGGCGAAAGGGGGGGGAAGGGGGGAGGGGGGTGGGCGAAACTAAGCATCAGCCTGTATAACCAATCCCACCACGTTACGCCGCGGCGCCGCCGGGGGCGCGGCGGAGCCCCCCCATAATGCGACGCCGGTGAGGTGGGCGCTCAGGCCCCCACTGCCCCCCCCCCCGAGGGAGCGTCAGCGGCGGCTTTGGCCCGCGCCGCTGCGGAAGGGGCTGCCGCCGGCGCCGGGGCCGCAGAGGACGCCGGGGCGCTGGCGGCGGGCTCTGCCGCGGGCGCGGCGGGCGTTTTGCCCTGGGCCTCGCCCTTTCCCTTCCCCTTGGCACCCTTCTTTCCTTTGCCCTTGCCGCCGTTTTTTGCTGCCGCGCCCCTTGCTGCTCTTCCCGCCCCTGCCCTTGGGGCCGCCTCCAGTGGCCTCCTGGCGCGCTTGCGCCCCCGCTCCTCCGGCGTCGCCTCGACGTACGCCAGCCTGCGCTTCGGGGCAGGGGCCCCCTCCGCTCTCGGCGGCGCAGGCCTCCCGCGAACGGGAAGGCCCGCTGCCGTGCGAAGCGGCCCGTCCAAAAAAGCCAGCGCCGCCTGCACCGACAGGGGCTCCTCGCCGAACCGGAGGGTCAACCGAAAGGCGCCCTCGACTCGGCTCCTGCCGCCGGCCGCGTTCCTCGACCGGTCGAAGACGCGCGCCAGCACGTCCGCGCCGGCCAGGCCACTGACTATCTTGGAGATAGCCAGACCCGTGTCGCCCAGCGCCTGGAACTCCTGGGAGTCTTCCTGCGGCAGCGGCCACGGCACCTGGAGGGTCTCGCAGAGGTCCTCGCCCACCGCCTTCGGCACTGCCAGGCGGAGCTCCCTTCACAACTGGCTCGGCGCGTGTTCTGCCCACGCGCTCTCCACCTTGTCGAACCCCTCAAAGACGACGTGGCAGCTCTTGCGAACTTCGCCCACGCCCCTCCTCACGCGTCGCAGCCCACCCTCCACCGACGTCACTCTCGCCTCGAGCGCCGCCAACCTCTCGTCCACAGCGGCCCTGCGTGCCGCCATTGCCCCCGGGCAGCGGGAACGGAAGCGGACCGACACAAGAGCCTTCCTGACGGGCTCGCGGCGGGCGAATGCGACGAGGATAAGGAAAGTGCCGCGATGCCTGCGTACACACACACACACAACAATCATGCAATGGGTGCGCGGCGGGATACTCACGTTGACAGAGACAGAAGGGGCGGGAGATGATAATAATGGTCCAACCCCCAACAACAGCAGGAGGAGAAAGAAGGGACAGAAAAGGAGGAAGACAGGCAGGAACACGAGGAAAAGGCAGGAGGAGGGGGGGGGAGGGGGGGAGGAAGAGAGCAACGCCGAACGAGGAAAAGACCGGGCACGGCTTCGCACGATTGCCAATGAACCCAACGCAGAGCCCCTCATGGGGGCGCCCCTCCTGCCGCCGAGGACCCGGGGGAGGGCGGTGTCGAAGGCCAGGAGACTAACGACGGCACAATGTGGAACCCGAAGGAACCTGCGCCCTCCCCCGGTGCAGGGTTAACCTACACCAGCACGAGGGGCAGCGCGAAAACTAACCCCTGGGCTGCAGCAGACGCGGAGAGAAGCGCCACGAGCCGTGCCCGACAAAGGAAAAACGAGCAAACGGACGCAAAAGCACAACGAGCAAACCCAGAGAACAACGAAGGACAGACCATCACTGCCAACTGAAGGAACAGGGGGCGAGGGTGGAGAGCGAATGGGGGGGGAAGGGCAAAGACCCCAACGAGAATAAATGCAACAACGCTCCTGCTTTCGTCAGTCTCCCTACCCGTGCCCCCGCTTCGGGGCAGCTGCCTTTCTGGCTAACCTCGAACTCCCCTCTCACGTCATAGGGCATGCGTGGATCCTTTGAAAATCGTAGCTCTTCGGTTTTTCCCCGATTAACCCTCTCCGCCCAATCCTCCATTGTTTCGATAATGGGGGGGCGGGCTACTTGCATCTCAGAATCAAACCCCACAATGGCGGTGTCATCTACAAACCCCACGTCGCCGACGACGACCCGACGAAATCCCAGGTCCTTGGGATGGTCTGATACTTGCGACTGCAATCAGTTCCGCGCTTTTTTTCTGCAATCGGCCATCTACCTGGTACGTAATCTCGAGTCCTGGGGTACGCCCTAATGCCTCAGCCGCGCGTTTGCGGCGGGCTCTGTAATCCGCCATCACCGCGTCGCGATACACATAGAAGAGGGGGTGGGGGGGGGATCCCCCCCCTGAGTCCTCTCTCGGGAGTCCAGGGGTCCGACAGACCACCTAGCACCCGGACCCGACACTCGGTGTGGTTGTGTAGGGCTTTACAGACTCTGAGCATGCCATCGGGACACCCTCTGCGCGCTAATAAGGTCCACAGAGCAGGCCGGCAAACGCGGGGGTAAGCTTTTTCTATGTCGAAGAAATCGAAAACCACAGATCCCTCATTCCGGAGGGCTGCGGCTTCCTCCACCAGGCGGCGGGTGACCAGTAAAGCGTCGTCAGTGCCCCGGCCGCGCCGGAATCCCGACTGAGACTCTCCCATCAACGGCTCTGACCACACACTTATGCGAGACGCTACCACCCGCGCCACCAATTTGGACCCGACGGACAGCAGGGCAATACCCCACCAGGTATTCTTGTCCTTTCGGGCCCCCTCCTGCTTCCAGAGTGGAATAACCAACGCTTCTCGCCACTCGCGGGGCCAAGCAGCCGCTTCCTCTCCGCCCTTTGCGGTCGCCGCGCGATTCCACATTTTCCTGGTGAGATCGAATACTGCCGCGCGGAACGCCGCGCCTCCATATTTTAGCGCTTCCGACACAAATCCGCCCCCCCCCCCGGTTGTCGCCCTGTCTTCATCTCCGGGCCCCCCACCCCCCCGAAAGCCCCCAACTTACGAGTGTTCCAAGTGCCCCCAACGAGGGTCTGAGCGCGGGGGCGTCTCTGCATACGCAAAATGGATAGTTGATGCATTGCCTGAGACCTTTTTCGCGATCTACGCTCCTTTTTGCGAGCCTCGCGAACCGTCCTCCGACGCTCGCGTCTATGCGCCCTCCTATGGGACCTACTCTTGGTGGCCCTCTAACTCCTGCCCCACGGGTGACTGCGGAGGCGGCCACCCCGACTGACCATGGCCAGAGCCACCGTCAGCCGACACAACCGCCCCTCGCCCCAGATACCCTGCCGGCTCGCCGGGGCCAGTGGCGCAGCCGGGACCCCCATTCCCCCCGGCAGCCGAGGAAGGTCCGGAGACCCAACCGTCTCTACCGCCTGATGGCGGGGGTGGGGTGTGTGAAGTCCCGCCCCCAAACGAGTTCCCCGAAGACTCCGGAGACGGCTGAGCCGAGAACCAACCGAGAGACCCACCGCTAGAGACCGACAGCCCGTCCCCACCAAAGATCCAGAGGGGGCGCCCCCTGAGGGGCGCGGGTTCGCCGGCTCCTCGCCCATGGCCCCAGCACCCCTCAACCAAAGCAGGAAACGCAATCCGAAGACCCATGGATTTACTTCCCCCTCAGTTTTACACCTGGACCCCTCGCCGAGAGCAAACTCAGAAGGGGGGGGGGGGGGCGCCACCCGCCGACCGCCCGTCCCGGGAGCCCGGGCTCACTTGGAGGGCCCTTCACCTGGTCGGCGACGGTGGGCCCCTCGAGGATGGAGGCGGCCACCTCCTCGGTCAGCCTCGACACCTCCTCTTTGGACAGAAGATCGGCATCGCGCTTAAATACCGCGGCATTGACGGCGGCTATGACCCTGGCGCGGCAGCGGTAGGCCCGCCCACAACGCGACGCCCGCGGCAGCTCAGAAAAGCTGACCGCACTCCTGGGCCCAAGTATAACTCCACGTGTTTTCCTCCTTCATCTTCCTCCTCCCCTCCTCAAGCTCGGCGTAGTCGTCTAGAATGGCGCCGCGCAGGTAGTAGTGATACTGCGCGTGGATTTGCTGGCGTTGATACTGAATCTCCACGCGCTGGGACCACTCGCGTGGCCCGGGGCCTATGCTGGCGGCCGCGTGTTCGAGAACAGCATGGACCATCTGCTGGCTGCCGGGGCCCGCCGGCTCCTGCAGCCCCCGGGCCAGATCCTCAGCGCCCCCGACATCCTGCCAAGCTGCGAACATCACGCGTTGGATGTGGCCAGAAATGGCGCCGTCGGCCTCTTCGGGCATCACCGACAGGACCCATGGTAAACCACCCTCGGCGACGATGTCGGCGCCCCGGGGCGACGATGGCACAGCGATCGAACTCCCCGCCCTGGCCCTGCCCAGCGTCGGCTGCTGGGGGTCGTTCGTCACGCAGGACAAACTGGATGATGCGAGCGTCCTTCCACAGCTCGACAATGAGGCCGTGGGCGTCGGACCTGGCGCCACCAGAATGCACTTGGCGGACGCCGCTTGGGTTCCGAGAGAACCACCAATTGACCGGACTGCGGTTGCAGCCCAGCCAATTACCCACCGATTCCTGACAGCGCACGAGACGCACGGCACGAACGTCAGGTAGCTGAGAGCTACGCGGGACAAGTGGCGCAGCGGCGCAGAGCACCGAGGACATCAGGGCGTGGCCGAGCCTGTTCGGTCAGTTGATGGCCCTGCTCGTCTTCCCAGGGGCCGAAGGTCCTGGGTCCTGTCCTGGCTCCTGCGGATCCTGAGCCTGGCGCAACGTGCTCTGCGAAGTCCTCCACGCGATCCCAGGCCAGGCCTGCTCGCGGGATGCCGGTGCCCATGTCGTCGCAGACGGCACCGATGAAGGCCCAGGCGCCCTGCAGTCTGCAGACCATCTCGGCGTTTCTGCACTCGGCCGCAACCCGGTCTAGCACCCCCCACTAGTCTCTGTGGCGCGTGTCTGGAGGGCGCAGTTAACGCGGGCAGTCGAAGTTGCCTCGATCATACGCTGCATGGCAATTTCACGGATGCGCCACTGCAGTCGGCCGGGTTGCACCTCGCCACCGACGGGTCTAGCCCTGGCGACATAGTCGCCCTCGCCCTCGTCGTCTGCTTCGAGCGGCGGCAGCATGGAGGGCCTGCCGAAGACGACGTTGCGCGGCGCAACGCCGCCCACGCGGGCGAGGCCGTCGCCCGCGAAGATGACGCGGGCCAGCATGGACACGCACTCACAGGCAAGCGCCGCCGCGACGACGGGCCCCCGAGCATCTCGAACACAGTTCGAGGGTGCCCGAGGGGGGGGGTCCGGGGCGCGAGGCGCGCCGTCCTTCTTGCAGGTGCACTTGTCAAGGTAGCGGTGCCGGGTCTCCACGGCTGACCCTGGCGGCTGGGCGGGCGAGGCCCCGACTGCCCCTAGAAGCGAGTCGCCTGCCGCGGCGAGGTGGGCGAGCAGCACGATTGTAAAGCATGTAGAGCGGGATGTCGCAGTCGACGTTGCAGAGCGGTCGCCGCCGGCACGGAGGGAAGCCTCGCGGGACATGGCGGCGGATGCGGCGGTGGAGCCAGATGCCCCGCTACCAGCTAAAATCCAAAGCGAAAGCCAAAATGCTTTCTAGCGGAAGGCCGCAAAGCGGCGCAGAGCAAGCATCCTAGCGGGAGCGGGAAACACGCCCACACAACAAGCTTCGGCTCTGGAAACAAGGCCCCCCCACACTCAACATGCTTGCTGGAGGAAGAAGTGCCTTGCCTATTCATAACGAAATTTGGCAAAGGCTTCGCAGGGTGAATCGCGCATTGGCGTTCTTGTTCGTAATATAACTGCGCATCTTGCTCATGGGAGGTCGCGAGGCCCCGACGGATTGACGATGGACCTGTCGCCATGGCTGAGACTCCGCGAGGCAATACGTGCACCTGCAAGCGCGCAAGCCGGCCGGCTGGCCAGACGGGCGGGAAGAAGCCGCGCGCGCGACTTTTGGTGCACAAACCCTGTAGAGGAGAAGTATACATTCTTTTTCGTTTTTTAATGTTGCTTCTCTCGCTCTCTCTCTCTCTCTCTCTCTCTCTCTCTCTCTCTATATATATATATGACTCCCGGCTATACTAGCGCTGCCAAACCTCATGTGGAAGGAAGTGGCATGCAACA